ATTTTTAAGATTTGACAATCTATAGAATCAAGTCGAATTTAAATTCGATTTATGAAAGCGAAAATTTATATGCCGGAGAGCGTGCAGAATTCTGAAATTGATGTTTGATATCTAACCCTCTACTGCCCAAATTAATTTCTCGTGTTTAAGACATTTTTCATGTACAGGGTGTTGAAAAAAAAGGGTCACATATTTTGATAGCAGGTAGTATTGATCAAAACAAGAAAAAAAGTTCTAATTAACATGGGTCCTAAGACTAATATCTTTTAAGATACAAGCTATTTTGTTATTTGAGTTCTTTGTCATTTTCTTATTAGTCGTATCATCTTTAGAATGTAATGAACAAAAAAGTAGGGGAGAGTGGGGTACAATGGGAATATCTGACCAGCCAGGTGTATTTGAAAAATACGTGCGTTGTGCGTGATTCTCTAAAACGTAGGGCTGAAACATGTGTGAGAGTGAATGGCAATCACATAGAGCATCTCCTCTAATGCTGAGTCAGCATTAAAATTTTTTGTTTTTTTGTAAAAAAAGAGTTTTTATTTTGTTATCATACATTCAGTTTCTTTACTTCAGTTTTTTTATAGAAGATAAATGATTATATTTCATATTAAAATAAAAATTGTTTTTTTATCTCTCTTTGTTAATTTTTTATTTTTTAAGACACCTAGAAAAAAGATATCCCCATTGTACTCCACTCTCCCCTATTCCTTTGTTCATTACATTCTAAAGATGACATGGCTAATAAGAAAATGACAAAGAGCTCAAATAACAAAATAGCTTGTATCTTAGAAGATATTAGTCTTAGGACCCATGTTAATTAGACCTTTTCTTCTTGTTTTGATCAATACTACCTGCTATCAAAATATGTGACCCTTTTTTTTCAATACCCTGTATATAAAATGTTTCAAACTAAAGTACTCAACACATGTGAGGTATTTTACTTTTCTAATTTTTTATTTTTCCAAAAAAGATTTATAGCTCTGAGATCACGTTGAGCAGCTACTATCACTGCTAAAAAAAGACAGCTATATTGTGACTTTCACGTCACATCGGTTAAAACAGGAACGACATTCATACTGGAGATAAATAATAAACTGGATTGTGACTTCAGAGTCACAGTAAACAGTAGATTAAAGCTTTTGTAGTGTGAAATATTCCAGATATTCTGGAATTAAATAATCTTGACATTTTTATGTAACGACAGAACGAGAATATTTGCGGCCAGATAATTTGCAATTTAAAGATAGAACTGAAAATTTGATGACCATTGCTGGAAGATATGGAAAGAACGGTAGTTTAAATTCTGAATCGAAATGATTTAAAATTTTTGAGATTTCGTGAGAAAATCATATAGAATGGAGTCGAATTTAAACCAATTTTTGGAAGAGAAAATTGATATGAAAATGAGTAGAATGCTGGAACTGATATTTAAAGCTTTCGAAAATTGAAAACATTTTAGAATTGAGAGAATTCTGAAATTTTTACGCAACGCGACAGAATAAAGATATTTGCGTTCAGATAATTCGCGATTTAAAGAGATAAAGATTGAAATTTGATAGCCATTGCTTATATAAAAAAACGGTTTTAATTTTTTATTAAAATTACTTTTAATTTTTAAGAAATTTGGCGATCTATGTAAGATCTAGTTGAATTTAGGTCAACTCATGAAAACGAAACTATATATATAATACCAGAAAATGCGCAGATTCTTTGGAATTGATATTTAATATTTAAAGTTTTCGCAGAGTTCTGAAATTGGAAGAATTCTAAAATTTTTACGCAACGACCGAACGAAGATACTCGCACTCGGATGCTTCTAAGATCTAAAGATAGAGCTCGTGATTTAATAACGAATGCTGGTGTCAAAAAAATTAACGTAGTTTTAACTTTTCAGATTTGACGATCTACCGAGCATCTAAATTGAAATTCATGTCCGATTTGTGAAAGCGAATATTGATATATCGGGGAACTCTCAGATGGAGGGGATGAATATCTATTGGAGGATACGCGAAACTAGGGATCGACAGATGCACGATTTGAGATACACGAGAAGCTTGAACTTCCGAACTGATGTGGAAGTAACAGCTCCGAAAATCTGTAAGATCAAAAGAACCTCACATACAGCTCACGGAAATTCATAAGACCGGAAACACCTCGCCTCGACGCTCGCGAAATCTTGTAACGCGAAAATTTGAAAAGTGACCAAACTGCGAATCTCACGAAATCGACCGGGCTTCGCTTAAAAGTTTCGCACACAATAAATAAAAATAAAATAAAATAGACCAGTCGAAATAACGCGCATCGAGTTGGACGAACACAGTTTCCAAGCTGTACACAGCGAACTAATCGACCTAATTTTTGAGCAAAATTTTCTCTTAGGCTCTTGTTTGCACGAAGCAAGCTCAAAATCCGGTTCAATAGGGCGATTATAAAGCTGACCCAACCCATTGTCGGTCGTATTTGTCGCCTGATTTGCTTGGCTTTCCAACCAAATGGTGAAACTACTCGTATTACGCAGAATTACTCGTGTAAAATCAACCTTTTGATGGTTAAAAAAACGAATAAAAAAACGTCTATGTCGCGCGTACAACCGCGCTTCGATCTCATCTAACCTTTTGTTACCTTTTGTCATCTAACCTTTTGCTAAATATTGTATTACAAATTCCCAGGTCACAGATTGTCCTTCTCACTCGACGCTCGTTCGACTTCACTCGTTCGTGCGTTAAAATCTGCCTAAGTCTGATTTCCTCCCGACCGATTTCTTCCCGACGCAACTACCGCGGGATCCGGCAGGAGGCGAGGATTCGCCACAGACGGCATCCTGATGCCTTCTTTTCGTTATCAGCGTTCGTTACTCAGATGAAATGCGATTCTTTCGCGGTCGATACGATCGCGGTTTTATTTTAGAAAGCCGTTGCGTGTATCGCGGGCGCGAGCGCGCGAGATGCAAGCAAAGGCCGCGAGCAAAGTGAATATGGAGCGAAGAAAGAGAGAGAGAGAGAGAGAGAGAGAGAGAGAGAGAAATATTAACGCGCTTTATGGATTAGGGATTTTGTGGCGTCGGTGTGCTTTCGCGTGTACGGGTCTCAGCGCCGCTGCATAAATTAATGTTATCTCGGGGGGATTATACCGGGTTGAGTAGCGTGCGATGGCATTGCGGCATGATGAAATTTGATGTATTTCTCTCTGTCGTCTGATTAGGTATTTTTAAGACTTCGTGACTCACGTAATCAACGTGCGCGCGCTTTGCACAAATAAAATGGGCTCTCGTGTGTGTGTGTGTGTGTGTGTGTGTGTGTGTGTGTGTGTGTGTGTGTGTGTGTGTGTGTGTGTGT